GGCTCTTGAACCTGAGCTTAAAGTTTAGGGTTGAGGGTTCCAGGTGTAGGGATTAGGGTTCGGGGTGCAGGGTGTAGGGGTAAGGGTTGGGGGTGTAGGGTTTAGGGTTATGGAGTTATGTTGCTTCGTGCCCCTCAACAGCTTTCTGCAGGCGTACTCTAGGGTTGCGGGCTTTAAGGATTTGGGGTGTGTGTGCTTTGCAGGGTTGGGAATTTTGGGTGCAATGGGCCCGGCGTCACAGCTGTGTAGGGCTTCGCACTTCTAGGGTTACGTCAATTTGCATCCCAAAGGGGACCCAGTACTGACAACCACCCTCCTAAAAACCCTAAACCCTAAAACCATGAAACCCTAAACCCAAACCCCTACCTGCAAACCCGAAACCTTTTTGCAGGCTTTTCCCCAGCCCAAAGAGCCGAACCGCTCCTCCGACTTGAGCCATGTGCCCCCAAAATCGTCTTCAGGGATGTTCGATGTGAGTTTAAAATCTATACGGGTTGAGGGTTCAGGGTTTTAGGGCTTAGGGTTTAGTGACCCAAAGAAGAACCTGTATAAACAAAAACCAGAAGGTTGGCATATCATCCCACAATCCTTTCTTTGAGTAAGCCAGCAAGGTTGGGATACCCCGCCCAACCGCTTATGTTTGGGTGCTTGTCTGATTCCTGACCTTATGGTCTATCGGGAGCTCTCTAAAAGGGGCTCCTTGCGGATCTGGCGTCGATCACTGATGTGGGAACCCGAAAGGAAAAACGGTCTTGCGGGTTTACGGGCTTAGGGTTTAGGGTTCAAAGTTCAGGGTTTAGGGTCTTTGGTACCCCGGATTCATAAACATGCTCCTACGATCGTGATCTTAATTTTCTGACCCTTGCTTAACGCGATTCTTGGGCCGGTGGGAAGGCCCCTACTTAGAGGATCATGGGACTTAGTAAGTAGGTTATAATTGGGGTTATAAGTCCCTAAGTGGGGTTATCCTAATTATAACCTACTTATCACCTTACTTACTAAGTCCCATGAGCCTTCAAGTAAACCCTAAACCCTAAACCGCCATTCCCCGGCCGAGGTGCATCGTAGACTCGAAGAGGCACAGCTTGCGGGTCTTCCTGCGCGGTGGCCAGGGGGAGCGTGGGACTCTGGGCTCGGGTTTAGGGGCTTAGAGGCTAAAGCTTCGGGGTTTAGGGCTTAGGGGCTTAGGGGCTTAGGAGTTTGGGGTTTAGGGCCTAGGGGCTTAGGGGCTTAGGGGTTTAGAGTTTAGGGTTTAGGGCTTAGGGCCTTAGGGACTGAGGGGCTTACATTTCAGGGCTTAGGCTTTGGAACTTGTCGCGCTAGGAATCAGCATGCCCAACTAAATATCCTCACCACAAGGCTTGGAATGTGAAGCTGCAGTATGCGAAAGGTACTAGAGAGAGGAAGGACCCTACACCCTACTAGCCCCAAGCTCTAAACCCTGTAACCCCTAAAGCCTACCAGGCCTACCAGGCTACTTCAGGGCTTAGTTTGGTTCAGGGCAATGAAGGAGGCAATCCCTAAACCCCAACCCCTCAACCACTAAACCCTAACCCCTGAAACCTGAAACCCTAAACCCCAACCCCTTAAGAACAGCACTGCGCAACTCCTAAGGCTCTGAAAGTGGGCCTTGGGCGTTCAGGGGTCAAAGGGCTCGAGGGTCCGGTTGAGGGTGTTCGGGTTGTAGGGATCAGGGCTTAGGGTCTAGGGATCATAAACCCACACTAAGCCCTAGACCCTGAACCCTAAACCCTAAACCCTATGCTATACCCTAAACCCTAAACCCTAAACCCTTAGCTCGGGATAAAGGTTGGAAAGTCTTGCGTTCAGGGGCTCTGGACCGTCTCCACACCTGGGATATATATGATTTAGCCAGGAGCCCGAAGCCGGAGCCGGTGGTACTTCGAGGATCATGGGACTTAGTAGGGTTATAATTAAGGTAACTATACTTATAGCTACTTATAACCCCAATTAAGATACTTATAACCATACTTACTAAGTCCCATGATCCTCCAAGTACCCACTACAGAAAAGTTACCTAAACGGTATGGGCTCGAAGTCCAGGTTTTAAGGTTCGGGTGTGGGGCTTCACGGGTTTAGGGGTTAAGAATCGGTTTAGAAGTTAGGGGTTTGGGGTTCTGGGTAGGGGTTTAGGGGTTCAGCGGTCAGGGTTCAGGGTCCAGGGGAAACCCGAAGCCCCAAACCTTGAACCCTAAACCCCAAACCCTAAACCCTAAGCCCTAAACCCTAAAACCCCACAAAAGAGAGCAAGTTGCGGCAAAGAGACGTGAAGAGGTCCCAAATGATGCATGAGCCGTCGGCCGAGGCAGATACGGCCTGCGAGGGTTCGGGTTTAGGGCTACTTAGCGGATCATGGGACTTAGTAAGGGTTTCTTAAAGGGCTCCTTAAAGGGATCTATAGGGGTTCCTTAAAGGGATCTATGGGGTTTAGGGTTTAGGGTCTACTTAGAGGATCATGGGACTTAGTAAGTAGGTTATAATTGGGGTTATAAGTCCCCTAAGTGGGGTTATCCTAATTATAACCTACTTAAAACCTTACTTACTAAGTCCCATGAGCCTCCAAGTAACCCTCAACCCTGGCTCTGGTTCCGTGGCGGAACTTTAAGCTTTCGGCCTCGTTCCTTCCCGGGAAGGGGGCATAGGTAAAATAGGGGCCTTGGATCCCCAAGATAGTATGGGCAATTATCAATAGCTCGTTCCGAAACTATGCAAAGCAGTGATCAAGAACCCCACCCCTCCTCAAGTATGGAGGGGATTCTAAAACCTGGGCCCGTAGAGCAAAGCGGTTTTTTCGGGGTCTCATGGGTCTACATTCCAAGCTCTTGGGCCATGAGGCTCATACAGGTTTAGCTTGGACGGTGTGGCTGTAAGCTGAAGGACTGCAAAGACATCGAAAACCTCCGATGCGTGCCGGGGAGGGGGTGGGGAGGGGCGAGACGCCTGCTTGTCGTCCGCCGTGATCTTGATACACCAAACACGGCCGCGATGCTCCTGAGCCAGAAAGAAACCGGGGTTTAGGCCAGGGTGTTCTTGGAGGTTGCTTGGCAGCTATGGTCAGGAGCAGAAATGCTGCAAGCCCCAGAGGTCAGCACCCCCTAGCTGCAACACGACCAATATCATAAGATCCTAAAGACCCCCAAAAGGATCGTGCATTTTGGCTATTGTTGTTCGCAATCAAGACTGCTCCCGTCCTCTGTTCTAAACCCTAACATCTTAAATCCTAAAGTCTTCTCTAAAACATTCTAAAACCCTTGACCCGAAACCCTTAGAGGCCTAGGACGGCTGGGCCCATACTCCCTTTTTTTCAAATTTAGGGCTTAGGGTTTGTTTAGTCGTTTAGGGATTCAGGGATTTAGGCTTCAGGGTTTAGGGTTTAGAGCTTTCGGCTGAGGTAGCCAGGAAGAGAGCTTTAGGCTGTTGAGGGCAAAGGGTTTGGTTGTTTTGAGTCCCTCGCACATTAGGATTTAGGGTTTAGCCTCCCGATGATACTCAATCTCAGACGAAAGACTGCCGAAATTGTCATGCCATCTGACGGGGTACCTCTTGGAGAGGAGAAGCTATAACTCATGCTATGGCCCAAACCCTAAACCCTAAACCCTAAACAATGGCGCAACTCGAATCAGGACGTCGGACCCATGATTGAAAGTTGCGAGCAGTTGTACTTGACACGATATCATTCCACCGCTGCAGCTGGCTCCAGGTCGCAGTTGGCTTCGGCCCCGGATACTACATATATCCTGGGTTCTTGTTATACCGCATTATTTACTACAGATCCCTAGTATGTAACTCAAACAAATTCCTTAACAAGAACCCGGTCTAACCTTGAACCTTCAAGCACAGCCCTGCCCCAGGACCCCTTCAAGAGGCGTATAGACCGTATGGACTGCGGTGTTTCGGGCCGAAGTCAGGGGTTAGGGTTTAGAGGTTTGGGTGTAAACCCTAATCCCTCAACCTAAACCCAGTAGGTTTAGGGTGTAGGGTTCAGGGTTTATAAACCCTCATCCCCGGAAATCTCCATTATAGAACCCGTCATTGACCCCTCTAAAACCTTGACGAGACCTAAACGACTGCGTGCCCTATGCTATGCCATCGCACCTTCAGGGAGGCATCCATCGTCCTTGGTGGCTCAGAGATGAGCTCAGGAATTATGTTTCGGGCCCAGGGTTTAGGGTTTGAGGTTTCTACACTGAACTTAGAACATTGGCGAAAATTGTATTTGTAGCTGTTTCTTAGGGATGATAATAACCAAAAATTAAAAAGAATTTCTAAGTACCCCTGAGGTTTAGGGTTTAGGGATCAGGGTTGAGGTTTCAGGGTTTAGGTTTCGGCCTCCGGGCTCGGAGTTCAGGTGGAGGGTTCAGGATTCGAGTTCCGCGACTGTAAAGCCAGCATGAGGGCCCATACAAAGAGGCAAAGGGAAACAGGAACAGCTGTATATATATATATATATATACTGTGTTATACTAGTTATACTGCTGTGTTCGGAGGAACTTAAAACAGATCGAAGTGGGGAAAAGTGGCGAATTCGGGTTTGAGTCACGATACTCTTGCCTGGTCCTGGTCCCCAAAACCCAGGTATGTTTACAATCTGAATCATTGAGGATTGCGCCCTGAGGTGTCCAAACCTCGAGAATGCAAACCACAATGCAAGAATAGAAAGAACACCCTACACATCAAACCGTACGATCCACCCAGACTCAAAACAAAAAGCAAAACCAAACCCGAAACCCCTAACTTTAAACTTTAAACGCGCTAGACCCTGAGCCCGAAGCATGTTTCGAGGCCAGGTGGCTGTGTCTGGAGGCCGATGTTCCAGACGCGGACCTCTCCCTCCATGCCTCCCGTCACCTGTCTTGCAGAGGCGGGTGGTTGCCTTCGGGGGTTACAACGTATGAGGGGGTTCCTTTAACGTTTAGGGTCTAGGGCTTAGCATGGGGGGTTACAATGTTCTCCGCGAGGAGCAAGAAACACGTCTACTTTCATGTCAAGATGTCAGGGAACTGGACCAGGATGCGATTGCGGTCCGAGCTGAGCCAGTCATGCGTCTGCCGGAAGTCGGGGTTCCGAGTGCTGTTGTTAATGGTGATATCCGCGGCAAAGACGCACTTGCTGCAAGCACAAGTGCCACCGCGAGTGGTGGCGAACTCAACACGAGCGTCGTATTTGCCCTGTAGTTTGTCTTGGTGCTCCGCAATGAACTTCAAGTCCCTCTTGGGGCTCGAGAAATTGCAAAATTGGGGACACCTGGGACCTGGGTTGGGACAGCACTCGACTGTCGGCATGAGCCCTGTGCCAATCTTCACAGCTTCCAATTGAGACCACTCCGCTTCTGTCAAGAAACCGGCCAGCTCCGGATCATTGCGGCGCAGGACAGGGATCACATGCTTTGCGTGGTTCATGATGCCGTGCTGCGGCGGCCAGGGGAATAGTGGCAAAACCTGCAGCAATCTTACCAATAACCGCAGAGTTGGAAACCCCGAGGCCCGAACCGAGACGACCTACACAGAGTTACCGTCAGAGGTACCAGATGGGAATACTTGGAGGTTATAAGGTTAACTGCAAGGGAATACTATACGGGGTTTCTGTTACTGTAAGGGATGCTAGGTTTGGGGTTGAAGGCTTGGGACATGAGCAAAGCTAGGGTTGCCGGTTTCAGGTTCTTAGGGTTTGAGGGTTTAGGGATTCAACCTGATTCAAAACCTATAGAGGGCCCGAAACCCCGAAACCCTAAATCCCAAACCCTAAGCCACACAGCCTAAACCCGCAAACCCAAACCCTCTCAAGTCCGCAACCGGAGACTTCCTGCACTTTCCCATCAGGCCACAATCCCTGAACCCCCCCAAACTTTGAATCCCCAACCCTAAACCCTAAACCAAAACCCTCACGGTTTCGGGTACAGGGAGGGTTTCGGGTTCAGGTTTAAGGGTTTTTGTTGAGGGCTTAGGGCTAAACCCTAACACCTGAATCCTAAATCAGAGCCCTTTGGGAAACCCAAGTGCCCCGGCAATGCGACCACAGTCCGATGCCAATGCCAGCGCGGTGACGCCGTTCCTAGGCTGTTCGGCAAGCGTTCAAGGTTTAGGGCTCAGGGCTGAGGAGTTTGCAAGCTTGGGGATAAGCTTCAGGGCTTTTGGCTTCAGAGCTCAGGCTTTTGGGGTTTGGGATTAAGGTTTGGGATATAAGAATTAAGGTTTGGGGCTTAGGGTTTAGGGCTTGGGGATGGGGGCTTAGGGTTGAGGGTTCGGGGTTTAGTGCTCAGGGGTTGCTAGCTCGGCTGAGAAATAGCTAGGCCAGCGGCCAGCAGTGTTGTTTTCCTTAGAAAATACCCACTCGCTCCAAGAAATCATATCATGAAGAAAAGACAGTTCTCGTATTCTCACCTGATAATAAGTGTCTGGCAAACTGCACAGCTATCACCACTACTCATATATAACAAGATGTCAGCTCTAAGACAAATCGTAGAGTAAAGCGTGGCGACACAATCGCTCGATGAATGTAGGGCGGAAACATGTTTGATATCCCTAGCTCAACCGGATCGGTCTGCTGAAGCACAATTGTTTACCAATCTCAGTGCGACACTCTCGACTTCATCCTGTTGTACAAGGATCGTGTCGTCAGCAGCGCCCTGGTACTGAGACTTGGCCTGCCGAAAACCAAGTTCTGCCGAAGCCAGTTTTGCCGAAACCGACATTTGGCCGAAGCTGACTACTAGTTAAAGACTTCTAAACAGCTTCATATAAGCGTGTACTCAGAAATACGATACCTAAACTTCAAGCCCTGTTGGTGGCAGGAATCAAGCCTCTTGTGATGCAAGGGCTCCAACATCAAACCCCAGTGATGCCCCCTCCACCCACCCATCCTCCCCTTCCCTCCTCCTCTGCTTCCAGACGTGGCCTGCCCTGTCGTACGTGCCAGTCGACCCAGCCCTGTCTGCACCCTTCGGGATGCTGCGGAGATAACTCTCCCTGGCAGACCGGCCCGGATTCTCAGCCGCCGTGGCTGACGGACCGGGGTACTGTCTTCTCACTGAAAGGTTAGAGCGAGAAGGCCTCGAACTCAGCATGGAGGAGACCTTCGCTCTTGCGGCTCATGGCGCAAGTTTGGCAGTGAACTCCGGTTCGCCCGAAGAAACAGATCCTTCTAAATTCCGAAGCCCTACACACTCGACCCGACACCCCGAAACCCCCAAATCCGAACACCCAACCTGGGGTTTTGGCTTGAGGGTTTGGCCGAGGGACCCTCAGCAGGTCTACAGGACCACAGCGTCTATCTCACAATTGCGGGGCTATTGTGCTCTGGGCAAACTAAACCATGAACAATTAACCCTACCTGTGCCCCGAAACCCTACAAAATGGTAAGTTATGACCGATAGGTGTTGAGATCCACAGATAATCACTAAAAGCCCATCACTAGAGTCACTAGACCATTACCTGACTGCGCTCAGTGGCTTGTGCGCGTCGTTGATGGCCTCAGCGCCAGGGCGAGACAAAGACACGATGCTGAGGTTCTTCCCCCTATAAGAGGGGCCAAGGAAATGCGACGTTGACACTCCGAATTCTGAAACGCTCGTGCTTCCAGCCCTTCTTCTTGTAATACCGGGGCCTTAATCACAAGGGGAGGTGAACCCGAAGCGCACAATTCAGGTTTGTGGTTTGGAATTCTGGGGTTGAGGAGGAGGGATTGAAGGTTTTGGGCTTGGGGGATTCCGTGAGGGGTTTTGCTTCCTGTCATGGCTTTTTACCATGAAATCCTCGCGTGCCCCCTTCAGAAAAGAAGTCACTTGAGCTTCGTCGGGAGACTGGGGGTTCAAGGCGATGCTATGTAGGTAGGGCTGGGCCTAAACCGTAAACCCTAAATCCTAAAGCCTAAACCCTAAACCCTATATAAAGCCTAAACCCCAAACCCTGAACCCTAAACCCCAAACCCTGAACCCGTTTGTGTCCGGGTGGCGTAGAGGAGCTTGCCGCTCTGGGGAAGGAAGGCACGCACCTTTGCAGGCGCAGAAAAGCACGTGGCGCGGGGTGGTTTGTTGTGGGGTTTATGCGCCTTGTGTTTGTTTTCTAAAACTGTAAAAATTATAGATAGTACCCTTATGGTAACCCTAAACCCTAAGCTCCTAAACTCCAAAACCCTAAAGCCCCTAGGACTAGGACCTCTTAGAGTTTGCATCATGCTGGTTGTAGGATATCAATTCTCTTTTTGTTTGAGCTCCTATTTCCAGTCGCCTGAAAGGGTCCCGAAAGGCCGAAAAGGCCAGGAAAACGGTATGGCCCTTATCACCACCCGTTTGTCAAGGATTTAGGGTTTAGGGTTTGGGGTTTAAGATTATTTTGAACTTGGTATTCCGGCATTAGGGTTCAGGAGTTGGAGGATTGAAGGAATGGGTGTTTTTCACCCGTAAGGGCGTGGGCACAAGGGTTCAAGATCTTGGGGGGTGTAGGAATCGCTGTTTCCCGTTACAAGTTTCTTGGTTTGAGGTTTTGAGAGTGCTAGGGCCAGGGCCAGCGCTTTTCAATTGACATTGTTGGGGTTTGGGAGACCCCACCAAGTCCAAATATGTCGCTTGGAAGATTCCGCCTAAAGGAGATACAACCGGACATTTTGAAGGCCCTTGCGCATCTGGTGGATGCACGAACGTGGCAGACTCGTCCATCAATGCCCGCAGCTCTAAACTGGACCAATCGTGGCTGACTACTGTGGCTCGTTGCTTCTCCACCCTAAACCCCGCACCCTAACCCTGGACCGCTAACGTATGCAGAGAGCCCAATACCCCTGAATGAAGGGATATAGCTTAAATCAGAATATGAAGCCTCTAGTGATTTAAGGTGTATTCCTTAATTGAGGGGTATGGAGCTCTCTGGGTATGCAAGACAGAGACAGGCTCTGTAACCCTTCCCCCTAAACATCAATGCCAAAGCCAAGAACACTAGAATCTTAAAGCCCCCCCCCAGTTCCTAAACTCAACACCTTAAGACCTCCAGAATCCCAGAACCCTCAAGCCCTATAGACCCCGTATGGCACTACTTGTTGGGCCTGAACGATTGGAGTAGGGTTTTGGGTAGATTTCTTGTATTGTATAATGCTTACAAGGATGGTATTACTTACACCCTCAAGCCTAAGCCCTAAACTCCACAGAGATCACTCGGTGTTACTTACACCCTCAACCCTAAACCCTAAACTCCACAAAGATCACTCGGTATTACTTACACCCTCCAGCTTTTGACCCCTAAACTCCAGAGAGATCGCTCAGCAGCACCTTGCCGTCCGACCATCCAGAGATGACGGACTTCCCATCCCTGCGACCGCTGCGGGCTGCGAGCTTCCGGGATGTCAGGGCTTGGCTCTGGGGCCTCGTCTTGAGGCCTAGGGATTTAAGTGGACTTTAAGGCTAGAGCTGGAAGGTGCAAGGGCTGACTGTCTGACTGTGGCTGAACCGCAAGCCCTGGAAACCCTAGGCCCTAAACCCCTAAAACCTAAACCCTGAACCCTAAACCCTGGGCTTGGATTGCCGGCCCGGGTCTGGCGATCTCGACCCGGAGCTCCGATCGGCTCGACGGAGCACGCTAAGGTGACGAAGGGATGGCTGTGCTTTGCTGCTGATCTACGGCGCCACGGCTACTGTTCAAAAGCTCTCTCAGCCGCAGCCGCCAGCAACCGGTGAGAGAAGTTGATGCTGACGGGCTGAAACGGGACAGAGAATACCTTCACATCCTATCCACAAAGCACAGGAAGGCAGGAGTTCCGAACGAACTGGACGATGCGCCCCGGAGATCAGCCAAAACCCACGGCGATCTTTGAGATGCCGTCGTCCAGAGGGTACTCCGGGCTGGAGTTCCTCTGCGCTCTCGAAAACCTTGAAACGCTTCCTCCCTCTCACGGTCATGGCATGGAGTGTAGTGAGCACAAACAACGCAGAAGCGGGTGCTGGCTCAAACAACGTTGGGCGGGACGGTAAAAGAACTAACAGTCCCCCCTGAGCCGTGGCCACACATACATGGGTGGTTGTCAAAATTATGGTCCCTGTTTGGGTCCCTATTATAATACGGCGCCTAACATTTAGGGTACCCAAAAACGGACCATAGTTTTGACAACCACCCATACATACATTACGTTACATCGGCGGCTGGCAGCATGGGGCGCAGGAGTGAGACACACCCAGAGACTCCAAAACTCCTTACAGTAGAAGCCCCCAAAAGTTGGAAACCCAATAGCCTCAATCCTTAAGAGTAATGTATAGGGAATCCAAGCACTATTTGGTCTTAATCCGGTTTCCAACTTTATGGGGTTTACTGTAACCCAAAAGCTCCTGCCCTAGTTTTCAGGGATACTGCTTCATTCAGGGGTGGCGTCAGAGTTGCAATGCGATCATATCTCAACCCCGAGGCCCCTAAAGAAGCCCAGGGTTTTCAGAACTGTTATCGTGCAAGCATTGAATTTTGCTTGTTTCATGGGCTTCAAGCGGTCAGGCTCTGGGCGTTTAGTGCTGAAGTCCCGAACCCAAAAATCCCCAGCCTCAAGCCCTGTTCTAATTCAAAGTTCGTCCGGGTGCAGGAGCTCAGGATTTAGGGTTGCTGGGCCCGAAGCTCAACCTAAACCCTAAACCCTATCAATCACTCAAGCACGGCGATCTGGACCTCGGAAACCTCGACTTTAAATCCTGAGCCCTGAATCCTCGATCTTGGACCCCGAGAAGGGCTAAGCCAGGTAATGTGGGGGCCTTATGGATTCGAAGAGGATTTTGGGCTCCTTTTTACTACTATGATGATCAAGAACCCTAAGGAATAATAGTTGTAGTAATTTTGGCTTCTATAGTAGGATCTTGCCAGCACGGGACTAGGGCAGTCAGAGTATAAGGGAACTGCAGCTCATCGCTATCATCATCGGGAATGTCGTCATCATCACCACCACCATTGACCCGCATCAAGCATAATCATAACGCGTATGTCCAGCAGCAGCTTAGCAGTAAGAACACGCAAAAGCCATACCCCCCTAAACCCCAAACCCATCCAAACCCTAAACCCCAAATGGTAGCTGCATTCAACAAGAAGACGCGGAGTCCGCCTCATGAAGTCGATACAGAAGCCTTGCCAGGAAGGCGGACCCCAGCTTCGACGTCTTTTCCCCAGACCCCCGGAAAATCTAGAAAGTAGATCCCCTAATTTGGGGCCCTATACTACTAAGGGTACTTTCTAGGAACCCCCCATTAAGGGATCTACTTTTTGGATCCTCCCGGGGGTCTGGGTCGTGGGAGCTTGTGACTGCGCTTCAAGGTTCCGGGTCAGCTCAGGGCCTTCTGCAATGGATCTCCTCCAAACCCTGAGACCCGAACCCTAAGCCCGAAACGCTGCACCCTGGGTCCTGGAGTGGGAACCCTTGCAGAGGTAGCCCAGAGGTAAACCCGGGTTTTAGGGTTTCAGGGTCAGGGTCTAGGGTTTCGGTTTGAGGGGGTTTAGTTCGCGCTTGGGGTTCCGGCAGTTTTTGCTGCTGCTGCTGCTGCTGGTGATGATGATGGTGATGATGATGATGATGAGCTAGGTCGTGACGAAAATTTACTGGTACCGGCCCTTCACGCTAACCCCCACATCCTAAACCATCGAAGCGGCCGTGAACCCAAAACCGAAGTATGTCACCATAACCGAGGCCCCCCCACGAAAGCCCAAATGCCTGGTCCTAAACCTTGAAATCTTGACCTATACCAACCTTAGAACCAAAACAAAGATAATATGTTCAATACTCTCTTGGGTTTTATATGAACAAGAATGAAAAAGAATTCCCGAGGAGACTATAGTAACCCTCGACAACAGCAAAAACCCATTAGTTAGGACACCCGGATCTCTTGAAGCCTGAAAAAACCTTTCGACGCGAGAAAATCCTTTGACACCCTTGTAAAACGCCAAGTAGCTCCCCACACAAACCCCAGATACAGGGGCCTCAATCATGGATTCGGTGTATGTTGTGCTATGATCGTTGTATCCAGGAACCCAAGCAATGCTACTAAAACTGACTCCTTACACTGAAACCCTAAACCACTCTGCGCGTTCTATGTAGAGAGGCCTGAAGAAACGGAATGGCGTTCCGTTTGGGTGGGGGAGGGAGGTGCTATCATTATCAGTATACAGGGACTACAAGGATTACTAATTCGAAGGCTGCCGAGCCCAGCTGCATTCCATGTTTGGTACCTGGATGCGCAAGAGCTCCTGATGGCAGGGCAGTAGTCAGTAGCAGCAGTGGTAGTAGCAGTAGTAGTAGTAGTAGTAGTAGAAGTAGGAGGAGGAGGAGGAGGAGGAGGAGGAGGAGGAGGAGGAGGAGGAGGAACGGCAGGGCGATAGGTCTTGAACGTGGGGCATCTTTTGGGGTTTCCCTACTCGCTTTGCAGGCAAAAACGGCATGGACCAAGGCCCCGAAGGGGGAGAAGACCACCGACCGTTAAGACCCTAAACCCCCAAACCGTCAAACCCTAGACTCTCGGGTTTAGGGTTTAGGGTTTAGGGTTTAGGGTCTAGACTTCTGCATTCTGTCAGCTCCTGCCGCGTCACTGCATTCCAAACACGGATGTCCGTCACCTGGGGAAGTTTCCGGCTCGGAGGATTTAGGGTTTACCTGGGGATCCAAAAACCTACCGTTTTAAGGGTCAGACCCTCTAATTAAGGGGTCATAACCTACTATTTAGTAGGGTTTGGAGTCACAGGTAGAGTTTGAAGTTCAGGGTTTGGGGGCCGTAACAAGTAGAATAGGGTTTGGGGTCCTGTCTAGTATGACTATAGCAATATACTACGGAACCTCCGAATTATTCTCGGTAGCTATATATATAGGCCCCTCTATTGTGTTGTGTTGTATCCTTCTGCTTCCGAAGGGTTTGGGCTTAGGCTTCAGGGTTTGTGGGGGGGTTAAGGGTTCAAGGGTTCAGGCTTAAGAAGTTCGCGGTTAAGGATTGAGAGGTCTGGGTCGGTCTGGGGGGGGGGGGGGTCAAAAAGCTGTCCACAGCTTTGGGTTTAGGGTTCCGGGCTTGGGGATTAAGCCTATGATATGGGGTTCTTATGGCGCCAAGGGTAAAGCCTTGTAGCTGCAAGATCTCACGGCTTGGAAATTAAGAGAGGGTTTGCCCAAGAAAGGTGTTGGCTTTGAAGTCTCACGGTGCTAGTGGTGCAAATCTGCTATGGCTCTATAGTAGACCTTACTTGGAGGTTCATGGGTAGTTAGAAGTTAGGGCTAGAAGTAGGGTAACTATACCTATATCCCATATTAGGGGAGTGATAACCCCACTTATAAGCACCCTAAACCTCAAAAGCCTAAACCCTAAATCCCTACAGACCCCTTTAAAGAAACCCTTAAAGGAACTTTATAACCCCACTTATAAGTACCCATGAACCTGCAAGTAGACCTCAGAGAGCCGATCGAGGTCTTTGGGTCCGCTTTTCAGAACCCCGGAACATCCGCTGAAAACCTTGACAGCAACACTCTACTGAACTTAGACCCCTAGCAAAAACGATATTTCTTGCTGTTTCTTAGGGACTAAAGGAACCAAAGACCAAGCAGTGTTTCTAAGTACCCCTAAGAACAAGCGCTTAAAATTCCAAGCCTTCAACCCAGCTCGTGGGGTTACACTTAAAGCATGTGGGAGGGTAGTTTGGCTCAATGTGATTTTGAAGCTGCAAAAGCGACCCTGGCAGAGAATCTGGTTTTGGGGCAACTGTTTCGTCATATACTCATGCTTCCGACACCTAGGTCAAGTTCCTTGAGGAAGGGGCTTCTTATTGATGTGGCCGCAACTCTTTGACTCTTTGGCGGTCTTCCCAGGCATCTTCCCATGGAACCTTGTCAGGACAGCTCCACCGAAAGCCTTCTGATTGGTCGCATCTGCCATGGTCACATCGGATGCCTCCGGGGCCCGGAGGCAAACCTCCTCCCAGAGGAGCTTCTTTCCGCCAGCCTTTGGCACCGTGATCTTTTCCTCGCCGTCCAAGAAGCTCACTCCAGAATCCTTCCATAACCGCGGCAGCTCTCGCAAGAAGGCCAGGATGTTCTTCGTCCCTTGGAGCATGCGGTTGAAGCTCGAGCGGGTGTACATTGTAAGCGGGGCCTCTGCACAGCTTGCCGCCGACGTCCCACCTGCGGCCATCAAGAGCCACCAGCATGTGTGCCTTCCCAAGGTTCGCCAATGTTCCTGACATGCAAGATTGAAAATGTGGTTCGTCAAACGGAGCAAGCTAGCAACCACATGCCCGAGTCGGTTCTGGTATCTTCCCCTTGCTTGTCACACCACCCCTTCACATCGTACAGGTCCGCTTTCACCTTACACAACCCTTCTGGCACCCCTGAGCTCTGAACCCTAAACCCCTAACCGAACCCGAAGTCCCTTTAGAGGAACCCTGAATTTAATCCTTGCGAGAATCCTCACCCTTGAAGAAACCTTCAACCCTAAACTTCACTTTGCGACGTAAAAGGTCCCAAGTCCTGAGCCAGTCAGAAAACTGGGTCTCCAAAGACAACTCCGAAACCCCAAACTTAACCCTTAACCCCCCTTAAAGGCCTTCAAGGAACCCTGAACCCTAAACCCTAGATCTCCACGTCCGTTACGGAACCCGCTCTTTAAGGCTTGAGAAGAAGCGGCCGAGCAGGTGGCGAAGACCTCGGAGTAGTCCGCCGGGAACGCGATCTGCCCAAGAGGGGGTTTACTCGGAGGTTCACAGGTAGTTATAAGGGTTCCCTTAAGGGTCCCTTTAAAGGGATCTATAGGGATTCTATAAGGGTATGTAGGGGTTAGGGATTACTTGGAGGTTCACGGGTGGTTTGAAGTTTAGGGTTCTAAGGGGTTGAGGGTTCCCGTAAGGATTCTATAGGGTTTGGCAGGGTTCAAGGCATAGGGTTTCTATAGGTGGGGCTATAAATAGGCTAACTATACTTACAGCACATATTTGGGGACGTATAACCGACTTATTGCTACCAATGAACCTTTAAGTAGGGGTTCCTTGAATGGGCTCCTCTATGAAGCCGCTTTGAAGGATCTTTAAGGGGTTTTACAGTTTTGTCATGGGGTTCGGCTTTCGGGATTTACGGTTCTTTCGAGGCTTCTATAAGGGTGCTATAGTTCTTCAAACGCTTCTGTAAGGGTTCCATAGTGCTGTGAAGGCTTCAATAAAGGTCCTATGATTATTTGTATGCTTCGCTAAGGTTCAGGGCTTGGGCCTTTTTTGCGTGGGGGTTGGAGGTTCGTGCTTAGGGTTTAAGGTAACTGGGTTGCGGAAGAATCAGGGTTTGGGGTCTAGGGCATCTGAAAACCTACTGTTTCCAAAAGGTTGTACCCTGAACTTATGGAGTTATAACGATCCAACCTACTCTACGGTATATAAGGGCTTTGTGGTTTCAGAACCCTAAAAACCTTAAACCCTAAAGCCGCAACCTCAGGCCCCTAAACCCTGAATCCCTCCGGCTTCGGGGTTTGAAGCACTGGGCGACTCAGCCATCTTCGGAGAATTGACCTACTGGACTAGGAGGAGGCTGCTCATGTCTGCTCCAGGATATCGTTCAGGAAAAGACAGCACGGATCTGTCGACTGCGTGGCAATGGCTTTGTTTCTGGTGGCATCAGGACGCAAAGCCGGGGTCAGCTTTCGCACGAACTTGTAGAAATCTCCCGGCTCGGAGCGAACCTGGTGACTATGAGAACCAAGTTCCACCGGTGCCCTGACCCGCTCGTCTCTGTCTTGCCAATGTCTTTACGGTGTGGACCAAGGCGGTTCCGAGAATCAGGGCGAGAACCGCTTTCTTGCACGGGTAGGACCCGGGCCGGAACCGCAAGATCGCGCTGCGCGCGCATTACACGACCTGTCAGAAGATCGCAACACATCCCCGATCCTGTTCCGCGGTTTCGCATAAGGGGGGCCTTAACCCAAAACCTGTAACCCGTTCAGGGAACCCTTGCCAAACTCTTTCAGAAAAAACCCTGTAAGCAACCCTAAACCCTAAACTCAACCTCGAACTCCCAAGGCCCTATAGCTTTACAGGAATAGGCCCTTTACAGAAGCCCGTGAAGGGAACCCTTATAGAACTCTCTGGAGGAACCCTTTTAAGGGCCATCTTCGCCTGATTGATGCGCTCATGGTGGCAGGTGTTGCGGAGCTCTGCTGTGAGTGTATCCATGTCGACCTGGGCGGCAAAAACCTCAACCTTTAACCCTACTTGGAGGTTCATGGCTAGTTATAAGTAGGGTTACAAGTCCCGTAATGTGGGTTATAAGCATAGTCACTCTACTTATAACTTATAACCCTACTTGTGACTGCCCGTGAACCTCCAAGTAGGCCTTTAAACCCTAAACCGAAAACCTTGTCAACCCTAAACCCTGTAAACCCATAAGCCCTAAACCCAAAACTCTACGCCGCAAAAGAGGCGGCCAAGGGCTTTCCCTGATGCTTTTGCTAGAGCCAAGAGTACCCTTGGAACAAAAAGAATACCCTTTTTTGGTTTAAAGGGGCTTATAAGGGAACCTGAACCCTCAAAAAGGGAATCAGGGCCTACTCTTCATCCTAGTTTGAGCTGTTGGGGGGTTATGTACCCAGAGGCTCCATATATAGTAGCATCATGGAATTAGACCCCAAAAGACCATCCTTATCAGGGTTTGAGGGACCCAGAAACACAATGGTACTATATATGGAGCCTCTAGGGTAGTTACATCGGGTTCTATGGGGCTCTCCAGTGTTTCGAGGGCTTTGATAGCTCAGTTTGATCATAGAGCCGCCTTCATAATCAGACTACTCGTTTAAACATGCTAAGGAACCATATTGGTAATGACCGAGGCTTCTTTTCATGTCCTTTTGCTGCCAGAGCTCCTTGTTGAATGACCATCAAAAGAACCCCTAGGAAAGAATGAAGTTCCATAAAAGGCCCTATATAGTAGAATGTAGGGTATCTTTGGGGTTTCCTTTAAAGGGATCTACAAAAGGCCCTATATTTAGGGTTTCCTTTAAAGGGATCCATAAAAGGCCCTGTATAGTAGAATGTGGGGTATCTTTCGGGTTTCCGAAAAAGGGCTCTATAAAGGGCCCTTTTGTTAATCATGCAGGGGAATCTTCAGGCTCCGATTTTTTCGGATCTTGGGGCACAACGGGATCAGGCCAGCAGGGCAGATGGGGTTTGGGCTCAACGATCGCAGCCTCTCGGAATTCGACTTAAGTGGGGTTTAGGGATTAGGGCTTGGGATTCTGATTTCTGCTTAAGTGGGTTTGGGGATTAGGGCTTAGGGCTTAGGGTTCTGATTTCTACTTAAGTGGGTTTGGGGATTGGGGCTTAGGGCTTGGGGTCCTGATTTCTGTTTGGGTCGGGTTTAGGGTTTAGGGTTCTGGTTTCCACTTAGGCAGGGCTCTAACTCTACACTTGCTCCAACTCCTCTCTACGTGCACAGACATCCGCCCCCAGCCTTTGACTTTAATGTCTCTTCCTGCGGCCTCTGTTTCCTCAAAAGACAACCTCTTGTCTCATCACTTTGTACAGCAAAGTTTCGCAAGTAATCCCGAAATAATATTGGAATTGCTTAGGCACCTATATTGGTGATTAGTCCTCTTCTTGGAGGTGGACACGCAGCCTCTGTACACATCAAGCACAAGCATGTAGGGCATGTAGATGTAGACATAGCTAAGGGCGGAAATCCCTGGCTGTGGTCCTGCCCGGAACCAGCCAAATCCATCCGTCAAGAATCCTACCCTAGACCCGAAACCCCAAACCAAAACCCTAAAAACTAAACCGTAGAACAAAGTCCTTGTCCCAAACTTTGCCCCAGAAGCCTTGAACCCCAAGGTAGCGGTCTGAATAACGAGCGGTTTACAGTTTAGGGTTAGGATTTCTTGATAGTCCCACTATACCCAACTGTTCTAACTATAAAGGCCCCTGCATTCTACCCAAAACCTTTGACAAAAAGTCACCCCTCACACGGGGCCCCAGCCCAGTAGATGTTGGAGAGGGTTGTGCCACAGAAGAAGTGCGTGCCGTCCTTTGGGCTCACAGCTCTAGGGTTTCGGGTTTCGGAATTGACCACCATCACCACTATCATCACCCCTCAATCCTACAGTGGCCAACTATAGAGGCTGGTTTAATAGTTGGAATAGGGTGTTGGAGCACATTGCATTACGATACGGCTATAGCCTATAGTTTATAACTGCACACTTGTGCTCATCTTTCGACCCCATTTTTACCGGCCTAGCTCCCAAACCCTAAATACCGCTCAAAGTATCGCCTCTGCCCTTTTAACCCAAGCTCCTCCGTGAGTGCCAGCGAGGTCACTCCTCCCAACACCTGGCAGACTTTGTGAGAGCTGCTTGTATTAAATAGGGCTCCTGTAAAGGGCTCCTTCAAGGGGTACTATAAGGATACTGTACGGGTTCAATATTGGCCACTATACGGTAGAAAAAAAGAAAGCCCAGAACAGTAACTGGTAATTGTTTTTCGGCCTCTACAATATTTCAGTGCGATTGGCAAGTCTTACATTGTTGGCAGTACACGAGCCAGGAGTTTAGTTGTACAGTAGGCCTTTAGTTGTACAATAGGCCTTTCCTTCCTGAGTTTGCGGCATATCTGAGAGTGCGAATCCGCGACGAGAGGTGCTTTGCTCTTGTGCAGCGTTTGGTGCCCATTCCGCTTCCAGGGTGCCATGCAGCGGATTCCTCGACGAAGGGCTGCAGCTGGATGAGCTCGCCGGTGACAAAGGGCCCCATTCGACGTACATGTACAGGGCAATATTCAGGTGAGCAAGCTTGACTCGACGGCACTTCTCTGGGCCCACCGGTGATGGAACGTCCGTGCCATGCACCCGACGCTTCCTCGGCGGCGTCGCCATGAGATCAATCTTCTCTCGGGCCTAAAATCCGCTAGGCAAAACCCCCTGGTGCGAGGCTGACCACGAGACATGCCCCCAAGCGAATGCCTATGACAATGAGCACCACATGAAGGTGTTAATTGCTTTTCCTGTTTTTCCATTCCAGACCAACCCAGAGGAAGCTCATCCTACCAAACCAGAACTCTTAAAACCCTGGTCTCAAACCTGTCGAACGGAGAGCCCTGGAACCCTTTGTACGAATCGCTGACATATGCTTACGACATCAGACGTGCACGTAGAAGACTTCAGACAGAGCGAACCGCACCACAAACTGTCAAACCCAAACCCTAAACCCTAAACTGTCAGCCCAAAGCCGTAAGCCGAAGAGCTTCTGCTTTGTAGAGCTTTTAGAGGCTGTGTCTAGGGTTCTTATCGGAGTCTGCAATGCTTTATAGGGTATACAAGGCATCAGGAGTACCAAAGTTTGGTGTCCTTCGGACAAAAACTGCTGGGGTCCAGAGTAAGGTCCTTCATGTTCTGAAAGTCACATTCCGGTCCCGTTCGACGGCGACTGTGGCTTTCAGGGTCGGGGTGTAACACTACAAACCGGAGATGGTGACACAAGCCTTTAATGGATTTTGACCCTTCAGCCATGATCTACAGTCTAGTGACGGAAACTAGACAACCTAGGGCTGGAAACGAGCCTACAAAGGCGAAAGCCAAATACGAACGGCGCAAGAAATCGAACTCCGACTGCACCCTAAGCTGAGCTCAAACTTAATTGCCGAGTTCATGGGCCCCCCAAAAAAATTGAATCTTTCAGCTCCGTGGGGAGGGATCCATATTACCTCAGAAAGTATAAAGCGTACTCACTCAGCTACTACTTGGAGGTTCATGGGTAGTTAAAAGTGGGGTTATAAGTGAACCTCCAAGTAGACCCCAAACCCTATACCCTTACAGAATCCCTATACATCCCTTCAAAGGGACCCTTAAAGGAACCCACAAGTGGAGTTTTTCTCTTTCTTGCCTGGCACTGCTGCTTCACGCGCAGCGTGTCCGCCTGTTCTGCTTGCCGGGCTTCCACTCAACTTTGGGGCTGAACTGGGGTTTAGGGGATTTGGGGGATTTAGGGTTACCATTTTGTGGTTTTAGGGTTTTGGGGTTTAGGATTTGGGGCTTAGGGGTTTTCGGGTTTTGGGGATGTAGGGGGTTTAGGGTTTAGGGGTTTTGAGGATGTAGGGTTTTAGGGGTTTTACGGTTTAGGGGTTTTGGGGTTTAGGGGGTTTAGGGTTTAGGGGTTTTGGGGTTTTGGGGTTTTAGGGTTGAGGGGTTTTAGGGGTTTTGGGGATTTAGGGGTTTTAGGGTTTTGGGGTTTTAGGGTTTAAGGGTTTAGGGGTTTAGGGTTTAGGGTTTTGGGGTTTTAGGGCTTTGGGGTTTTAGGGTTTAGGGGTTTTAGGATTTAGGGGTTTTAGGAAGTTAGGGCTTAGGGATTAGGGATTAGGGTTTCGGGGTTTTTGGGAGAGGCATTCGGGTTTAGGATTTACGGCTTGCCGGATAAGTAAAAGGTGCCTCGAAGAGGATTAATAAAGACAAGGAAACGACCGTACCGCGGACTATCGCCGACAGTCCACCTTAAGGTCATTGTATGGTCCTCATTCATCTCTTTGTAACGCTAATATCTAGGTGTGTAGGAATTAGGATTCAAGGGTAAAGGTTTCAGAAATCCCCGGTTTTCAAACCCCATCATACTTGGCTCCATAGTCGCCACAGGCATAGTCGAAGACCGACTGAGGACCAGGGGGTCCTACTTTAGACTATGAGAGTTTTGCAGCCAGTTTGCAACACCCTCCGCAAACCCCGAGGTACAAGAATCCAATCACCCAGACTAGCATGGAAGTTGGTACAAACGCACACACTCGAAAACGTGCCTAGCATCCAAACTCTACAAGAATGAAAATAGAAACCCCAGCGCAATAGGCCGACAAGTCTCAAGCATGAGCCATAGACCCACACTCAAACCCCACAGCACGAGTGGCCAGAGTCTCTCTGGGTTCGGTCTCACCCAACCAGACCGGCCGCTCGGATTTTGAAACAGTCTTGTCCTGCTAAGCGTGTCCGATTCCCAACTACCCCTGTTAGTTTCCAGTCGTAGCTCGTAGTGTCATAGTGTGGCCGGGTCTTGGTATCTGGAAGTGTCCTCTGTTTCCGTATCCATTGGCCCCAAGATTGTGCTGCCCTCTGCCGACTGACTCTTTGGTGCCAGCTTTGATGGAGCGGACATCAACAGACAGAACCCTTTCAAGGAACGCGAGGTCGCCAATCACCGGTTCGATGCTTCCCCGTAGGGATGCACGCTCGTGCACCCAAAAGTTCCCTGGGCTTGACCGCACGGCCCTGAAACACGACACCCAAGTGGGCGCATTGCGCAAATTCACAGGCCGAACTGTCTCCCATCGCCAGCGAAGAGAATGCGACCCAAGACAAACCAGTTTAAGATCTTAAAGCACCCCATAGAACATCGTACAATCCTACAGAAAGTTTTGCTACGCCCCCTAAACCCTCAAAGCCAAACCAAACCCGAAACTCTAAACCCTCAACCCTAATCCCTAAACCCTAAACCCTCAACCCTCAACCCTAAACCCGAACAGAGCTCTCCCTGCGAGGCCCCGCCGCTATCCGCGCGAGGCTTCCATTGCCGGTGCCGATGACGATGTCTCCGTCCGGCAACCTCGGAGAAGGCACTTCCGAAGGCTTCGAGAGGGCAATATAGGGGCCTTAACATTTAGAATAGGGTTTTGAGCTCCTTACTACTATTCGTAATAAGGACCCCTAACGAATAACTTCCGAAGGCCTTTAAAGGGAACTGTATTATACAACCCCATAGTACCCTTAAAGGAACCTTAAAGGAACCCTTAAAGGGAACCCTTACAGGGTCCTGTGTTACTATAGGGTTCTACCACAGGGCTCCCCTTGAAGGTACTTCTGAATCTCTGAAGGCCTTGAAAGGGTATCTATAGGGCTCTACTAGAATCGGGTTCCCCTTACAGGAACCCTGGAAAGGACCCCTTAAAGGAACCCGTAAAGGATATCTGAAAGGATCCTTTAATGGGTACTATAGGGCTCTGCAATAGGGCTCCCCCTAAGCCACACTCGGGAAAGCCGTAAGGGTTGCCATAAAGGCTGCCAGGAAAAAAACGGCATGCGGAGCCCAGGCAAAGACGAGTCACAGCGCCGACGTGGTGATGCCCAGCGCAAAGGCCTCTCGACTAAAGAGGGTTTTAGGTTTTGGGATGTTCTACGTTTCGGAAAATTGTGTTTTCTTACGGGGGTTGGGCATTAATGCAAGGGGGCTTAATATCTTACAGACAGTCGTAGAAACCCTCCCTTCTAACAGTGTGTGATAAGGGCTTATGGGGTCATCACACGCTTCTCGGGTTTTTTAGTGCTTCCTTATGAGAGGCTGTCGGTTTACGGTTTAGGGTTTAGGTATCCCAGCACTATCATGTTCAGGAAACGTCCAGTGCTGATACTTGCAACTATACCTAGAGGCTGCAAGCCAGATTGATTCAGTTTCGAGTTCCTCGTATATACACCTTATGCGAGGTTCCTTCGTTTCTTGGAGCCTCTGGCTGCGAAGATAATGTTTAACCCAACCCTCTCCGAAACAAAAGGACAGTTTCCGTAAGATAGGGATCACGGAGCATTGGGCTTGAGAGTTTCAAGTCACCGATAACCCAGACAGCCCAATACCACACAATTTCGTAACGTCGAACCCCAACAATCCCAAACACAAACCCCTTGCAGATCCTTGTTCCCAAAAGCCCTCTAAACCTGAAACCCTGAACTGTTGAACCTACTATGATACTAAGACTAATATAGGGGCCTAAATAGTTAGAATAGGGTTTAGGGGTATGTTATACTATACTTATAATAAGGAACCCTCCAAAAAAAGTTGTGGTAATTATCTGGGGCCCTAGACTACGTCACATGCAACCCTAAACCCTGAACCTTGAACCCTAAACCCTGAACCCCAAACCCCAGACCCTGAACTTTTCAACCCACTATGAGACTAAGACTACTTCACATGCAACCCCGCCCCCCTCCACCCGCACCCCGAAAGGACCGCCTTGCCGGGTCCGCCACGGGGCGTGTACTGCTTGAAGAGGGCATGGGAGAGCTCCACCTGATAGGGTTTAGGGCTTAGGGTTTAGGGTTAGGGTTTAGGGTTGAGGACATAATTAGGGGGCTTGGTGACTAAATTTCCGCCCTTGTAGGATCCTTTTTATACGGGTGCCGTACTATTTTGGGACCTAGAAGGGTCTTCCTAGTTTAGAGAACTACCCATACACAGTTTAGGGTCTTAGGTTTAGGTTTAAGGTCTCCACCTGACATAATTACAGGCCTTGATGGCTAGAATGGGCGTCTCTAGATTGGGGTCCCTTGCAGGATCTTTTTTATGCGGATGCCGGACTATTTTGGGACCTAAACAGGCACAGAACTATAAATACTGTTTAGGGTCTAAGGTTCAGGGTCATCTCAACTTTCACGCGATGCTCCAAACGAGTGCGCCTCGTCACCGATTAGCAAGGCCATTCAGGAAGCGGATATAGGGGCGCTATTAATTTCAAGAGGGTTCCTTGAAAGGGTTCCTATAAAAGTGTTCTGTGAGGGTTACTTTTATCGGATTTGACAAAGGCCCCTCGGTAACTAGAACAGAGGTGTTGGGGTACATTGTACTAGACAACGGGGAACGCAGGCTTCTATCTCACCTCCCAGATTTGTTTAGGATCGCGCAATTACAGGCTCTTGTTAGGGTCATTAGCCCCTAGAATTGTAGGGTGCCTTTTTGGGGCGCGAGTATGTTGGATCCCTTAAAGGGGTCTGGGTTCAGGGTTGACGGGCAAGTTATGATTATCAGGAGCTCCGATGCACCAATGCCGGCAGGAATTGGTTTAGACTTAAGACTTGTTCCAATAACTCCACATTACAAATGCTGAAAAAGGCTCAGGATTTCACAGGGTTGGGGAGATAGGATTGAATGTGGAGGTTAAGGTTCATATGTGTGGTCTGGATTAACGTACTAATCTTCTCGCATCGTCTCTGCATAAACATGATGCTGAGGGGTTTAAGGTTTCATGGCTCTCTCTTGTTGAGGGGGAGTGAGAGAGAGGAAACGAGTGAGAGAGACAGAGACAGAGATGGAGACAGACATAGGGACAGGACAGGACTTAAACAAAGAGAGAGAGAGAGAGAGAGAGAGAGAGAGACTTTCCCATGCTTGTCTGGGCTTCAGAACTCCAGGTGTAAGCTCTAACTGCTTTAAACTACTTAGGAAACACCGATTCCGGAAGGCCTGCAGCAAGTCCCCCGTGGTGGTCCCACAGTAGACAAATTTGTCCTCATGATCCACCAGCACCTTCGCAGTTGTCGGTGCATTTTTTTGGCTTGGTCACAAGGTTGTGAAACTCCCTATGTTATCCCTAATCCAAACAAAAACCCAAAACCCCTCAAAACACCTCAAAGCACTAAGCCCCTGACCCCTAAATCCTCAGAGCCTGAAAGCGCCGAGCACAATGCAAGCCCCGGAGCCCGAAACCGAATTGGGGCTTCGGGTCAGGAGTTTAGGAGTTTATGAGAAGTTGTGAGTTTCGGAATTAAGGTTTACACAAAATTGACGCCTTCCCGTGGCCCTTCGGATAAATTGCCTGAGAGGAAACCCACAGTCAGAAGCCCTAAACGTTAAAAACCCTGCCCTCAAGCGTAACCTCCATAACAACCCTGCAACCCTCTACCCTAAACCCTAAAACCCAAGCCCTAAACCCCAAGCACTCAGCCCTATACCCTAAAGCCTAAGCCCTAAATCCTGAACCCAATACAAACCTCTCGAAGGGCCCGAAACCAAACGCTGCGGCCCTCGCGTTGGTCGTGATGCGCTTCATCTGCCCAAGGTTGGCCTGCCACAACAAGGTTTTAAGAATTTCTACAGAGTTCCGTGAAGGTTTGTAAAGCGTTCAATTATTCTACAGAGTTCTGTAAGGGTTTATCGGTACTGCATTTGAGGTGAAAGGCTTTAAATTATTCTACAAAGTTCTGTAGGGGCTTATCGGGGCCATGTATATTCGGGTTCAAAGGTGCTACATATTCTACAGGATTATGTAAGGGTTTATCGGTGTTATATTTGGATTTTTGAGTTTTGTACAGATAAAGGCACGAAGAAATGGGCTAAGGGTTTGGCAGAGGTTGTATAGTACAGCAAAACTATGGAAAATCATAATGGTACTACTCATTTTCCAGGGCCTTTCTTTTCGGGCACTTGAGGCAAGGGTCTAAGGTTCACGGGTGAAGGGGTGGCCAGAACCCTGAAACCCTAAACCCCGTAGAACCCTGAAGGTAACCCTTATACTTCCCTTAAAGTAACGCTTGGTTGGGACTTCGGAGTTTGTGGGTTTGGAGCTTGTCGGGCTACGGCATTCGGTTTGTTCTAGCGGCCTAAATACTGTTGATGATATAAATCCTGCATTACATTAAGGACCCTAAACTTTGCCCTAAACTATGGGAGTTAAAAATGATGGTGCATTCCTCATTATGGGTCATGCAGGGTTTGTATCATCAACCATCGGATCAGGGCTTTTGGCTTTCGGTTTCGGGCAGCGGCTGCATATTATCGCAGTATTCGTCCCAAGAGTAGGAAGCCGAGTGACTTCTTTTACAGCGAGCAGTAACGGAAAAGGATTGAAGGCCCAGCCGTAAATGAAAGGGGCAAACCACTGCGTCTGATGATCTATATTACATGACGAACGGGATGCCACGGACATGCCGCCACTTCATGGCAGTGTCCTGTCAAGGGGGCACGGACGGCAGCTTGTGGAGTGCATGCTGCAGAAGATAAATGCCTCGAGTGACGGTGATGCCGACCACTATTGCTCAATCCACTATACGTTTCGATTGTTCAGGCTGCTGTGCCGTAGCTGTGGCACTCTGCCGAGTCCAGCTTTTCAGGAAGCGAGGCCATCCGAACCAGACCAGTCCAAAAACTCGACCCAAAAGACTCCACCCTAAACCCTAGACCCCAAACTCCTAAGCCCCAAACCCTAGACCCTAAACCCCTTGAGCCCTAAACCCTCAACCCTAAAACTCTCTCCGACAACCCACACGCCCCAACAAATGCAGAGTCCCAAACCCGAAAACCCACAGGAGGCCATACACCAGAGTCGTGAATCATTAGTAATCATATCCCTTTGTCGTCGCTATATCACTCTACCGTAGCATGCCCCGAAACTTGTTCGAACTGCACAGGCCCCAATACAAACCTATAAGTCCTGTAAAAGATGAAACAACCACAAGACTCACGTTTCTTTTATCAACACCCTATCAAATCCGATAAAAATTCTAAAAACGACCGTAAAACCTTGCGCCCGTGCGCACCCCATGGTTCTGTCGACCTAGTACCGCTAAACCCCTAAAGGCCCCCAAAAAAATTTAACCCTAACAACCCCAAACCCAAAAACCCTAAACCCTAAGCCCCATAAACCCTAAACCCTATAACCCAATAAACCCTGTAAACCCAATAAACCCTATAAACAACCCAAAACCCTAAACCCCTATAAACCCTATAAACCCTATAAACCCTATAAACCCAAAACCCTAAACCCCTATAAACCCTAAAACCCTCAAACCCTAAACCCCTAAACCCCTAAACCCCTAAACCCCTAAACCCTGAACCCTAAGATTACCCTTATAGTCCCCCGGACCCCCCAAATCCGGACCCCTATAGTACCCTTGTAGTCACCCTTACAGATCCCTTAAAGGAACCCTGAAAGGAATCCTAAACCCCTGGACCCCCCCGGGCCGAGGTAGGTCGGAGCTTCTTGTTTGCCAGGTCGAACTGCCAAACCACGACATGGTAGTTGCCACCTGGTGGAGAGCTTTAGGGCTTCAGAGTTTTCGAATTTAGAGTTTAGAACTTTAGGGTTTAAGGTTGAGGGCGTTGGAGCTTTAGGATTTAAGGGTTTGGGGCTTAGGGTTTAAGGTACTGGGGAGTGTGACACGACCATAGGCTTTGCAATGGGTTCTGGATATCTTGGCCTAGGGTTTAGGGTTTAGGGATAGGGTTTTGGGGTATACTATACTATAATTACTTACTATAATCAATTTAGGGTTTCGGGTTTTAAGGTGCAAGGGGGGGCTCCTGGAAATCAGGGTCCATGTCCGCGCTTCTTTGCGGGAAAGGGTTTTGAGGATTCGAAGTTTCGGGATCCTTGTCACTGAGCGTGTAATTTGTGTGGCTTTCCGAAAACACGTGGCCCCTATATTACTTATATAGTACCCTAGATAGCAGGATCCTTGTTGTTAAGGACCCCAAAATAAGGTACCCCTAATTTTCGGCAACTCCCATTCTGTGAGGTTCGAGCCTAAGGCCGCGGGCTCTGCCTAACGATTGTCCGCGGGAAGCTGAGCCCCCAGACCGACCAACCCTTAAACCCAAAAGCTCTTCGGGTCAGAGTTCAGGCTTTAGGGTTGGGGATTTAGAGTTTAGGTTTAGGGTTGAATCTGTGCAACTCTGATAGAAAGCTGTAAGGCCCGCATTACAAAGCCTTCTTGGAAGTCTTCCTTCCACCGAAACCCTAAAACCGGGCTTCTAAACCCTAAACGCCTAATCCCTAGACCCGTAAACCCCTAAACCCTTATCCCTGAACCGCCTGTTACCAAGCTGAACTCGGTGTTGTTGAAGAAGCGGACCTGCCGCAGTCGAGCAGAGCTTTGGGCTTAGAGGTTTAGGGTACGGGGCTGAAGGCTTGCAACTAAAGCTCCCAGAGAGCCCAATATGTCTTAATTAAGGAATATAGCTTAAATCATAATATGAAGCCCCTAGTGATTCAAGGTATATTCCTTCATTAAGGGGTATTGGGCTCTCTGGGCATAGGGTTGGTGGCTTAAGAGCTTGGGGTTGAGCTTTCAGGTTCGGCGTTCGTGAACCCCCGCTTTCGCCAGAAGATCTGTGCTAACCCACAGGGTCCTAAGTACCTGTATGGTAGAGTGTAAGGTTTCTATATTAGGAATTACTAGTATGATCCAGGGAAGTATCCCCCATAACAGTACCTAGGACCCTTTGGGTAAGTTTCTGTCGAAAGGTCTTGGGAGCATGGAGGCTCCCCAGGACTAGTTGTTGTTATCCGGCTTCCTGCTTGGAGTTTAGGGTTTAGGGCATAGGGCTTAGGGTGTAGGGGCTTTACCCGAAGCCCTAAACCCCCAAAACCCTAAGGAATTCGGGTTTAGGGCTTCTGCTTGTTAAGTGCAGGGGCCATTTCTCCGAAGATCGCCAGGGTCCCTAAGGGTTTAGGGTTGAGGGTCTACCGGGTTTAGGGTTTAGGGGCTTAGGGGTTTAAGGTTTACCTGGAATGTGAGGAACCTACCTTTTTAGGGCTCCTTAATATGATTTCTTTATATAAGTCCTTAAAAAGGAGGTTACGTGGGGTTGAAGTAGGGTTTGGGGTTCAGGTCGCATGTCGGTTTAGGGTTGAGGGCCGTTTAGGAGTTGGAATGCAGTTGCCTGAATCAGTGGACATATGGGTGGTTGTCAAAATTATGGTCCCTTTTGGGGCACCCTAAATATTGGGTGCCGTATTATATTAAGGACCCAAGAAGGGACCCTAGTTTTGACAACTACCCATATCAATCCTCCACAACTCCCACTGAACGGGCGACAGCCCTCAACCCGAAACCAACCAGGTGCAGGTTTGGCAATCGAGGGTGTAGGACGTGGGCTTCAGAACTGCACGAAACCCCACATTGACGTCTGAAGCCCCACATGTAAAGCCAATAAAGAGATATTCCTTGAATTCAACTGCTGTCAGGGAGAAAGGCTTCTAAAGCTGTAAACTCTAAACCCTGATTCAGCCCTCCAAGATCGTCAACCTCAAAATCCTGGTCTTTAACCCCCAAACCAAAACCATTCTAGAACCCTCATAGAATCCCTTTCTCTACTAGAGACCTTAAAGAACCCTAAACCTCTCCTTCATTGACCCCAACCCCTCAAGAGCCCGAATAGAATCCCTGCAGTAGAAGAGATATGGGAGTTTCCGAGAATTAGGGGACCATTATATAGTACCCTAAATAGTAGGATCCTTATTATAAGGACCCCGAAATAAGGTACACCTAAGAGGGGTTTCGGTTTTAGGTTTACCCTAAACCCCTAAACCCTAAACCCTCAACCCTAATCCCTAAACCCCTCAAACCCTAAACTCACTAGGGTTTACGGACGCAGCCCCTTGGGCGTCCCGGCGCAATGCGCCGTGTCAGTGGCCGCCGGCGTGCCACAGACGGCAAGGCCCCGCTCGACCTCCCAGGGGCGCTTTTGGGTTTAGGGCTTTGGGGGGACTTTAGGGGCTCCTTTTAAGGGATCTATGAGGGTTACTGTAAGGGTAGGGACTTTAAGGGTGCCTTTTAAGGGATCTATGAGGGTTACTGTAGGGGGTACTATCAGGGAAGGGGGTTTCGGGTTTTAGGGTTGAGGGTTTTAGGGGTCGGAGCAATATCATGATCTATGTCAGAGCTGCCTATTCGTCGTGGCATGCTTTCGTAAGATGGTGTGTCTCTATTTCGACTACATCACTCGTTCGATGATGAAGGCTGTTCTGTTATTACTGCCGGCATTTCTGGTAGCAGTAGCAAGAGTAACCGGGTATCGTGGACGTCGCAGCAGCAGCAGCAGCAGCAGACGACGACGTAGCCGCAGCAGCATCATGCAGTGGTTTGCAGTACTGCTCTTGCTACTGCCATTCGTACTAGTTTCTGCTCCTGCGGACTCATCCAATACTAATCCAGGAACCCATCAACCCCCATAGAACCACTTCTCAAACTCTTATGAGACCCCGACTCCCTAAACCCCAGCCCTGATCCCTAAACCCTAAACCCCAAACCCTCCCTAAACCCTAAACCTCCGTCCATGCACATCCGTGCCCCCGTTGAAAGCTCATGGCAAACAGTAACCCCAAACCCTGAAAGCCAAAACCCCCACTGGCCTCCCAAATCACCAAGCTGTTGTCGTCCTGGCGAAGCTCTCGATTGCAAACGAAGAGCCGGCAGGCTTCAACATAAGGGCCTTAACAACTAGAACAGGAGGGTTCCTCTAAGGCTTCGAGACAGGTATGAGAAGGTATTTCAGATATGGGTTCATTGGTGCTTTGTGGCCTTCGATGGGTTTGATTGTTGGCGGAGGCAACAGCCTCAAGCAACCGAAACCCAAAGCCCTAGACCCTAAACCCTAAACCCCTAAACCCTGAACCCAAAGGCTCGGACCCTAGACCCTAAACTCACAGCCCGAGACCCTAAACCCTGAACCCAAAGTCCCAGACCCTAAACCCTAAGCCCAAAAGCCTTGACCCTACAGCCGAAGTGCTGGGCTTCAATCGAAACGCAGCATCCCAGCCCACGTTGGCGCCTGCCCACCCAGTGTAGCCAGGTAGGTCTCGTTGCAGGAGAAGGACAGCGACGTCACCGCCTCAACGTCTAAAGGTTCCTTTAAGGGCTCCTTTAAGGGTTCCTTTGAGGGGTCTATATACAAAGGTTACTATAAGGTACTATAGGGGTTTAGGGTTTACGGGCCGGGGGGTTTAGAGTTAAGGATATATGGTGCACGGTGACTCCTAGTTACCCGGTTATCCTATTTCTCCGAAAAGCCCTTCCCCACAACAACTTGAAACCCAAAACAAGACCATCTAAAACCCACCGAAAAACTTTACCCCCATCGAAAACCCACCCAAAGATCGAACCCCAGGCAAAAAAACCGTGTCCCGAAACCTCGAACCCAAAGCCAAAACCCTACAAGACCCACTCGAGACCTTAAACCCAGCCACGAACCTCTGAGCCTTAAGGCTTGAATCCTCAGGATATCGGGTTTCGGATTTAGGATTTAAGATCGAGGATTCAGAATTTGGGATTCAGGATTTAGGATCTAGGATTTAGAAGAGAAAATTACGTGTACACTGTTTTGGGGTCCTTATAATGAGGGTCCTACTAGAAAGAGTACTGTATCAGGGTCCCCAATTTTCGGAAACTCCCAGATGAGGGATGAGTGATTCGGGCTAAAGTGTCCGAGGAGAGGTCTAAACGTCGGCCTTCGGCAGTAATTTTCGGATCTCTGCACCCCAAGAAGCTTTCTTTAAAGATCAACTCTGCGAGCCTCGGGGGGGGTTGCGGGAGAGGATCCTGGGGCTTTGGGGTGGGTCTGACAGCTTGGGCTCTTGAGGTTTAGTCTGGGGTTTAGCGTTTAGGGTTTAGGGCTTAGGGTTAGCGTTTAGGGTTTGGGGCTTCCGGTTTTGGGGTTTTAGGGTTCAGTGTTTGGGGTTTGGGGTCTAGGGTTTGGGGCTTGAGTTTAAAGTTTCGGAGTTTTGAAGGGTTGAACTTCACCTGAGAGCGCAGGGTGGGTTTAGGGGTTAGGGTTCCGGACCCCGGATGGTACAGCATGCAAACACCACGCAGACAAACCTCTCGAAACAAGCCAGGCAGAGGCCGCGAAGGTGTACTTTACCTTTCATTCCTGTGGCAATGGTAATGACAGTTGAGGCATATTCCACCCGCTGCTTGAGAGTAACCAGGGACTGATATGAGTACCATTCGGGCTCAAGGTCAAAGAGAGATGGCAAAGGACCGCGAAAATGGTCGACTCGATACCTCCACTCAGCATCGACAGCAATGCTCGTCCACTCGCCATTGACCCGGCTGCGTGGCAGCGCTCAAGATAGGATTGGGCCTGTAGCCCCCACTCTCCCTTCAGCAAAGAAATTGGAGGCAAGGTCTCCTCCAGCCCAGGCGGCGGGCGGAACACCCTTAGTCTGCGGTAGATACCTTCGCGTATCTGTGATTGTACTGGCGGGGTCCAATCACTTCTGGAGCCGCTTTAGTAGCACTGATTTTCCGCTACCATAAACCCCAACCCCGAAAACCCTGAGCCCTCAACCCCACGTTACGGTACCCTAATCGAAACCCTTGCGTCAGCGCTGGGTGCCCGGCTACTTTGTGCAAAGACAGTCGATGCAGCTCCTTCCTCTGCTCGAAGTCCCAGATGATGACCTTGCTGTTTAGGGTTTCTTGAAGGGTTCCTTTAAGGGTTCCTTTAAGGGTTCCTTTAAAGGTTTCTATAAGGGTTCCTTTAAGGGTTCCTTTAAGGGTTCCTTTAAGGGATCTATAAGGGTTACTATAAGGGTACTATAGGGGCTTGGGGCTTAGCGTTTGGGGGTATAGGAGTTACTGTTTAGGGTTTAGGATTTAGGGTTTAGGGTTGAGGGTTTAGGTTCAGGGTTTAGGATTTCGGAATTCGAATTTACGGTTTACGATTTGGAGTTTGGGGTTCTGGCTGCTTTCGTGATCAAGGTTTCACGGTCTGCTCCGGCCTCAGGGCGACGAACAACTCGCAAGAGTTCGGGCTTCGAAGTTGTGAGCTTTGTTGCATCAGTAATGGAGCTAGGCTAGACGAAAGGCCTGCAGATGTTAGCAGAAAACTGAATGGATAGAACCCTAAACCTTAAACTTTGCTAAACCTTAAACTTTCCTAAGCCTTAAACTTTACTAAACCTTAAACTTTACTAAACCTTAAACGGATAAAAGGAAGTAGCCCTCAAGCCTAGAACCTGATCTTTCAATGAGCGGAAGCCAAGCCCCCGACCCGACAGCATGTGTAGTACAGGCGCCTTTATTGGAATAGGGTTTTGGGGCCCATTCTACTATGATTATTGCTGAAGATCAAATCTCACACCAGTACTGGCACTCACGTTGTCAGATTGACCTGGGGGTAGATCTTCTGAATTGGGGTTCTCATCAACCTCGGCCCTCATCGTCCCTTGACCACGACGAAATCTCAGAAGGGACTCCGTAGTCTCAAAGCTCCATGAAGGGACACAGAGGACTCTAAAGGCTCTTTTCACTCTACGCACGACAACAAATGTGCAAAGGTCCACGGCTTGATTTAGCCTTTCCGATGCTTGCTGTCTGTCGTTGTTCACTACAGGTGTGAAGCCCTACGTAGTCCGAGCCACGTGCTTCAGCAGTCTCTAGATGAGTGCTCCGGCTGTACATGGATTATCCGGAATTCCACACTCCTCCTTGACTCAGTCGTTAGACAAGAGTCACTAAACTAACCTTTGATTTCTGAGGCAGTATTGGCATACAGTCTTTGACTTGATATGCCCCGCCTGACGTAGCCCTCTGCATCCCTCTACGCAGTGCACACAGCTTCCGCCATCAGACATGTAAACGTGAGCTTGACTACCCAACACAACGACTGGATCTGTCTGCACAGCCTGGGACTGAGTGGCTCTCTTGGGCCCTTCCCTAGGAACTCCCGCACTTAACCCAACATGTTCAACAAGTCCGGTCGGCTCGGTTGAGGAACGGGCGTACTGGTGTTCGGAACCAGTGGAAGGCGCGAGGAAGATAGGCTGCCTCATCTCGCAAGAAGAGGCTGTGGGAACCGGAATCCCAGCACAGGCTACTTGTCCTTGAGGCGGGACTGTCATGTTGATTCCACCATAGACCACAGTAGGCCCATGCTCACGCAAAACACCTTCTCCAGACGGACACTTGTTGCGCCCTCGACGGGCAACCGGCGTTTGTGCTTCGCTTGCTGGACTCTCACTGGCAGCGCTAGAGATGGCCGCTGCAACTCTCTCCTGGAGCTTCTTGGCCTTTCGTTGCGTCTTCTCATGAGACTGTGCGTTCACTGCCCGCACTTGTGGGACCTCGGTTACGCTTCTTCTTCGGCACGGAGCTCCACTGGCCTCCCAAACGAAAAGTGTTGAAAGCACAATCAACACTGTCAGCAACGCCAGCTCCCAGGGCCACTCAATGGCTACACCTGGTTTCGACTCCTCCTCTGTCGGGCTTCCATCACAACCCCATGCCTGGAGAAGCGCAAGCAGTCCACTCAAACAGGTAGCAGGAACCTTCGAGACCTTCCTTGCGGCGTAGGAGATAGCCCCTTCTGGATCTGCATCTCCCCGTAGATTGACCAACTCACAGAGAAACCTCAACCTGGGCGAAGGCAACGGTTTGGTCAACAGGTCCGCCTTCTGAAACTCACCCTTGCAATGCTTGACCTTCCAGCCTGACTGCACCAACTGTCGGATCTTGCACCCACGAACCTTCAAGTGCCTTGTGCGCTGGTTCCCAGAACCGCTGATGAACTGTATCGAAGCGGTGTTGTCAAGGTGGAGTTCAGCGGTTGAACACTTCAGTCCCAAGTCCGACAAGACTGTCATAAAGGACTCCGTGTACATGCATCCCTCAACGGCCTGGATGAGTTCTGACTCAGAAGAACTCAGCGCAATCAGGGATTGCCTTGACGCCTTCCAAAGCACGGGAACGCCACGAAACTCGACAATGTGGCCTCCGTAGGAGTGCTGGCCTTGGGGCGAGAAGGAGGCATCTGTAAAGACCCGTAGCATCGGCGCCGACGGATCGGGTCGCAAGTGCAACTTGTAGTCCTTGGTGTGATATAGGTAGGACAACAACCGTTGCCCAACTGCCACTGCTCCATGGGGATCCTTCGAGACCTTTGAGCACAGTATTGCCGTAGTAAAGGTGATGTCTGGCCGTGAACGCTGAGAAAGCCACAAACATTCTCCAGCAATGCGTTGGGCAGCACGAATCACACCTTCATCAAAGGCCTTCACCTCTTCAGTGTCGCACATCAGCAACTCTTTAGGGCACGGGATCTTTGAGCGCGATCCTTCTGGCAGCTGGTAGGAGCGGATCAACTCATCAACGTAGGCCTCTTGGTCCAAGCTGAAGTGACCATCGCTGTGGCAACACAACTGCATGCCAAGAAACCTGATAGGCTTGTCAGGCTTGGCTTCAGTGAGACCATCTGTCTCCCATCCCGCTCCGTCCAACAACCATTGATGCAAACCTTCTGCTGTTGCCTTGTCACTCAGCACCAGGAAATCATCGACATAGGTGACCAGGTAGCCCTTTATTTCGGCGCCCTTCATGATCCTCCAAACCGAGGAGTCTGCCTCCCCCTGTTCCAAGTGCATCCCGAGAAACTTGGCCCCCGATAGGGTCTCATCTCTATACTCAGACCACCAGGCTGGGGCCTCCTTGAAGCCGTAGAGAACCTTGCCTAAGGAGTAGTACTCCCCCGGTTCCGCCAAACCAAGCTCTATCAGCCATTTCGGCGGCCTCAACAAGTATCGTCTCGCTGCATACTCCGGGATTGGCGTCCTGGTGAACGCCGACTTGATGTCGGTCACAAAAGCTGCCCAACCATTCAGGCATCCTTCTACCAACGCCCCTCGCACTGCTTCTGCAGGAGCCCCTGCAGCATACAGGGAATCTGCGTCAACGTGTTGGGCCTGGTTGCCGCATCCAACCAAGCGGCATTTTCTGCGGTATAGCCCATCGTTGGGCCCTCCTGGGGGTTTCGTGGTAAAGACCCCCTTCAAGGAGATCACCGTCGTCTGGGGATCGGAGAGTCTCTCCTTGGCCTCTCTTCCCTTATGGCTCACTAGGACACCCGGGTCCTTCAACGAGCGGAGTTCCCGCTCAATGGCGGACTTCCACTTATCCAGATTGGCACGGACCTCTTCTTGTGACGCAGTGTGCGTCACGCTAAGTGGTTCCCGTAGTCCATCTAGCAAGGACTCCAAGCCCTTGGTGGTTGATGCCTCGGCTTTGCTCACGCTGGCCTCTACTTGCACGGTACTGTCAGCAGGTCCTATGCCTAAAACCTTAATGAAGGTTGGATTGGGCACAGGGAATGGGAGGACGTTGTTGGAATCCCGGTGCTGTGATTCAGGCACAGTCCTAACAGCTCGAATCTCAGGTGGTGGAGGGCCTGGTACTTCCAACCTGGGCAGCACCGGCTCCTCCTCAGCTGGTTGACCTGGATCCTCTATCATCTGAACCCGCAAGATCACCATCTCAAACACATCCCGAACGTAATCATGGATGGAAAACATCAACATCCTGTCGGGGAATGGCAAGTCGTCAACGTAAGCATCATCAGAGAACTGGTACACTCTTGCCACCGGAACGTCACTTCCATCATCACTCCTGACTGACAGAAGTGGGTCTTGGTCCCAATCCCGTCGCTCCATAACTGTAGCAATCAGCAACCCATGGGGAATGTTCGCCGAGAGAGGGCTCATCTCGGGGTCTTCGTCATTGCCTCCCAGAACCCTTTGCCAACGCTCGAAACGACTCTCAAACTGGTCCTCATCAAGTTGGCACAGCTCTTCCCATTCTGGTCCGCTCATGCGTGCATACCTGACGTGCATCCCGACTCGTCCGGGCACTGGAGCAGCACGTCTGCTCCTCCTTGGGGGCTGCATCATCTGAGGGTTAGGCCCAACTAGCTTGCATATCTGGGGAACGACCGGGAGAGTCCTAAACCCAAGGTCACTAAGGGTTTCTTGGTCCTTTGCTCCCAGGCCATACGAACCCAGGGGACTGTAGCCAGCGATGATCCAGTTCTCAGCTGGCAACACTGCATGATGAAGCTTGGGGTCGAATGACACCACAACCTGACCTAACGGTACTACACCACCTTCCAGGGTTTGGCCCTTCGGACCTAGCTGGGTCACGCTGGATGATTCCCCTTCAAGGGTTGATCCTCTGTTCCCGGTTTCCACCCAAAGCGACCGACTGGTCACATGCGACACAAAGTTGTGGGACCCTGGCTCATTACGAACGTCCCTGTGCACTGCGATGCTATACCGGCCGCCATCACAGTAAGTGCGGTCCATCCTTGACCTGGGGCAGCTTTCCCATTGTGCCTCAAGTAGGCATTCAGGTAGTTACACAGCTGTGGGTGAACCTGACTTGCACGCGTCACTCCCTTGAGGCCTCCATGTGCATAGGCTCCGAGAATTACGGAGAAGTCAACGTGCCCCCTGTGCAATCGCTTGGAGGATGCATTCACGCTCCCAAATGCAACGCTCAACAAATTGGAGCAATCATCTGCTGTAAAGGAACCTGCCCTATGCAGCCTTTCCGCCAAAGCCTCGGACTCGAGCTGCACGGCTCGCACCGACTTCTTTCCGACCACACGTCGGGTAGGGGCCTTCAATTCACCTCCCTCCGAAGGAATGTGCTCGACCTCAGCTTCTAGGGGCTCACCGCCGAACTCCTCCTCCGGGTCAAACAACTCACTAAGCTGTCTCACATTCTTCGCCACAAGGTGAGCATTGGAGGCTGCTCTCAATAGCAGGTGGCCTCCTTCTGTGCGCGCTGCCGGATGCAGGTACAACGCGTGCTCCCACCTGATGAAGGGTCGCTTCGACTTCCCTGTGGGGTGCTTACTCTTGAACACAACCCTTTGGCCAAACCTTGGTAGGCTTCCCGACTGTTGCAACATGCGGTGTCTGTGTTCCGCACACGCAAATTCCATGGCAGCGGGCCAATGCTCAACTCCAAGTCCGGACGCCGCCAAGTGCAACCTAGCTCTAGCCTTAACCCAACCAACCAACCTTTCTGCTAGGCCATTGGCCTTAGGATCGTCACCCTGGGTGAACGAAGGTTGGATGAGCTTGTCCTGTAGCCATTCCATGGTGGCCTTGGACATCAGCTCTTTGGCACGGTCGGTGTGAGCAACCTTCACAGGATATCCCAACCGTTGGCACTCTGTAATCACTTCCTGCAATGCTGCCAGAATCTGGGGCCCTTGTCTTGACTTCACAGGAACCACAAACCTCAGGACCTGATTTGCACCTAGAAACTGTTTGGAGGAGATGGCTTCATCGAAATCCTTATCCGAGAGCGCTGCAATTCCGAGCTTGTCCTCCCAAGGATCATCACTCTCCTCTGCATTAGGCGGTTCAGGGTCAACTGGCAGCTTCGGGCTGGAGGCCCCATGAGGAACCTTCCCATTGGCACTGGCAACCTCAGGACCTGCCTCAATTGGCTCTGCCTCAAACAGATCACTATCCTGGCTCCCGAACACACCAAACCCTTGGTCACCTGCTTGATCTTCCTCAAGCTGCAGCCAATCCGCCTCAAAGCCTGACCATTCGATCTCTGGCGCCTCGGGCTCCTCTCCTTCACACGGGGAACCTCCTGCCTTTGCATCTTGGGGTTCAGGTCCGGGAGCCTCCTTGGTCGATGCTATGGGTGGGGCTACTGGCAATGCCATTTCAGGCACACGCAAGCCTGCAACCAGAGCATACTTATACCCACCACCCCTATCATCTAAACCACGCTCCTTGAAGGGCCCTGTGAGGTCGAAACTCAAGGCGAACATGTTCGGGCACTTCACCCGTCTGTGCTGTAAGCCCAGGGCTCCACTCATAACGCACTGAAGGCAGTCCTTGCGGAACGGGAGATGGTGGGCTGCCACATGTCGTCTCCAGCGCTCACGATCTTTCTCGTTGAGCTTGAGCTTGCTTGGATCGCGCTCGTGCGGTCCACTGGGCCCACCTGAAGCCTCGGCCCCTTCGCCTGGCGGCGGCACACCTCCTGCCTCGGGCCTTGGCTCCTCCTCCTCTCCTGAAGAGGTGGCTCCATCATCAACCTCAACTTCCGATTCCTCTGGGTCACCTACGGCCCGTACTGCCTCCGCGCGTGCTGGCTCCATTGGAGAGTCCGAAAAACCGAACAGCGCTAAGCTTACTTCTCGGCGGAAGTGAGAAGGCCATGATGGCCTGCACGGAAGGTCATCCCTATTCAACTTCACCACTTGGCCCGTGCTTGAGCCATGATTTAGCTTCAGGTTGGAGCAAACCCCAACGGGCTTGGTTTGGAATCCCTCTTGCTCACAACTTGGCACGACGAACTGGGAGCAGTTGCTCAACCTTGCAAACGGCGTTACCACGGTCTCCAACCAACTGTTCGCAGCTCCTCGTAACGGAAGTGACTGAGCCTGACATATTGGAACACCTTCACCCTTAGCCATGGAACTCAACACCCACAGCCACATAGGCTGCAACGCTGCCACAGTGTCATCATCGACACGACTCTGCATACTAGCATTGTTGGTGGGAACTCCCCACGGGAAAGTGCTTGACCTGAGCTCAACATGGTCAGTGCTGGAAACCTGAACACGATTCCAGGTTCGCATGGGGGCTTCCGCAAGAATGCCCGACAGACGACCCGTGAAAGCTGCCCAAACCAGAGCCTTCCATACGTCCTCACTCAAGGTTTCCCCAGCTCCAGCATTCAACTCGAGCAGCTCAATACCCCTGCTCACACACTGCTGACGCAGCACCGGATCGGCGCTGTCGGCTCCAAACCGCACGACCCAGGATTGGGATTGATGCAACCTCTTTCTGGTCTGGCGATTGCACGGGAGCCCCTTCAAGAGGTCCCAACCTGTCATTCCGGAGAAATCCACGGCTAGACGCGCTGATAGCTTCTCTGGGACTCCTTGCAGAAACGGGAGAGCCCGTATCAACCCCAACGCAGCCTGGTAAGTGCCTGTCTCAACAAAAGCATCGAGAGCTTCTTGCAAACTGCCTACCGGGCCAACACCAAGCTGAGCCTTGACCTTCTGAAGGCGTCCATCAAGCTCTCCCAGCCTCGCACTCTCAAGCTCCTTGATGAGCTGCAGGGCTTGGCCTTTGCTTAGTTGGGGACACCCTCCCTTCAGGCTGGTCCTAAGGCGACCCAGTCTAGGATGCAACAGAATCAACCCGCTCCTCTTTGACCATCGAACCGTACAACCCAATTGCTCAACTAGGCTTCCTAACGGGACTATGGTCTGCGGCAGGTGACCCTCAGTGGTCACTGGGGCTACCAAGGAGCCCCCCGGCGTTTGATGCCACACCTGCTTCTGATCTCCCGCAAGGGAGACTGCACAAGGCACAAGAGGATGCTGAGGAACTGACTCCGTATCCAACACCGCATGGGTGGCACCGGAGTCTAGAAGGGCAGTCTCCTCATCCTCCGGGTCAGGCCGGCACGTAAGGGCGCGTATGCGCGGCCTCCCATCAAGCACCTTCGCCTCCAAGTCGTCCAACTGTGCTTGTATTTTCGCTGCGGTAGCCATGGTAGGGGGCTCCCTAGCTGACGCGCTCTCCTGGGTCACCTGAGAGGGTGGGGACTGTCCAGCTGCAGCTGGTGCATTCTCGCCTGGCGTACCACCTGTGGCAAGAGCTTCACGCAACACACCTGCGGCGTCTGAAAGAACCTTCTTCAGCCCCGGCTCCCCTCCTCTGGACTTCGGGCTGGGGTCTGACCTAGGGGCCTTCGCCGAGCTAGCTCCATCATCTCGCTTGGCATGTCCGGGCACAACGGTGCACGCATCCCTCCGGTGTCCCTGTCCTCCGCAGGCCATGCAACGGTCGGCACGCTCCGACTTGGATATGCTGTTCCAGTCATGTTGGAACTTGCAGTCCTTCCCGCGGCGGCATCCCTTACCTTCCATAAACCACTTACAAGGTTTCTTGCCCGGGTCACTGGGTGTAGCTGCCGCTGCTCCCTTAGGGTTCTTAGGGTCCTTAGATGGAGGTGGCGTGCCTTCCGGGTTCTGGATACGAGCTTCCACCTGGCGCACTCCTTTTCCGGAGTCGGGCTTGCCACCGGGTTGTCCTGAACCTGACGCCTCAGCCACACGCGCTACTCCCTCCAACTCTGCCAACAAGTGCTCAAAGTACTCCTCAACTTTCTTGGCAGTAGGCTGGGTGTCTAGGTTGAGGGAGGCCCTAACTAAGTTCACCCGAAAGGTCCAACGCCTGCACGCTCACGGCAGCATCCGGTGGAGTGCCCCCCAAATCGCTGAGGCGAGTCATCCACCTCTTCCAGTTCCTCAACTTGAGGACAGCATCAATGGCCGAATCGGCGGCTCTTGGTGCCTGAACCTGCCTCAAGGCCTCCGCCCGCTCCGCCACACCACCCGGTTTGTATATGGCGTGGAGTCGACACAGTACTGGAAGAACTCCAGTGATTCTGGCTGCAGAGAGTTCTGCCTTCACGCTGTCAGGGCAACACTGGATGATCAGGTGCTCCATCCTGTGACGGACTCGAGTCCATCGGGGCTCTTTGTCAGCCACCGACTCAGGCACCTTAAGCCTCACCCGTGCTAGGGGACTCGACGGGACAAACTCTTTGTGGTACCATGCTTGGGCCTCACCCAACACCTGCTGCCAACACTCACCTGACGAATCAGATAGATCCCGCATTGATGGTCCTACCGAATGGACCCAGTCTGAGAAGCCCAGTGCTCCCTCCAACGTCGGTTGAGGGAGTTTGACGAGTTCCGTCACTCCCGGTCTGACCACCTCAACGGTCCCATGGCTCGCCGCGGCGGCGGGCGACTTGCTGGCAGCAAGTCCTGCAACCACATTTTGCAGCTGGACCATTCCTGTCAGCATAGCATCCAACGGACTGCCGCTTGCCGTGGGTCCGGCCATCGGTGTAACTGAAGGGTCCGGGGACTGGCTCTTAGGGATACCCGGTGGGCCTAAACCTAAGTGTCCTACACCCTGACTACCACCCTGCCACGCAGGGGCTGTTGCGGCCTGACTCTGCTCAGGCATTGCTGCGCTTGCTGGCCCATGGGTGGCAGCATCACTCACCATCTCTGGGGAAACCGACTGCACCTTGGGTTGGGATCCTAAACCACAACTGGCAGAAGTCCCTTGTGGTACCGGCTGCAACGGGCCTTGCGACGCGATCCCGTGAGGCACAATCTGGGTTTGCTGCACAACGGTGCTGGGCAACGCTGGAGAGGACAAAGAGGATTGAGGAGGGAGGTGCATCGTGGATGCTTGCGCCCATCCATCTTGAGGTGGGGGTTGGAAAGCCTTGCCCGGGACTTGTTGAACAAAACCCATAATGTTTCTCCTAAGTCCACTCAACCAACCACTTCTTCCATGGAAAGGGCCCATGCCTTCTGCGCTACCTTCTGAAGCTACTGCTACCTGCCTCAACATCTGGTTCTCCTCTACCAAGGACGCTACCCTTTGCTGAAGTTCATTCTGAACTGCAAGAAACGATTGAAGCTGCCTCCTCACTTCTGCCTGAATAGCCTCCGCCTGCCCTGAATCAGAACTCGCAGAGTGGGGCAAGGGCGGAACAGCGCCACTGCCCTGTCCTTCCAGCCTCTGAGCTCCACTCGTTCCCGCATACAGCAAAGGGGCTTCTCCCGGCATCTCCTGCAACCTCCGTGCTTGCTGCGGAGAGAAAAGGCCCGATGCCGCCTGATCATGACTCTCCTCAAGCCCTTGATCGTCTTGCGACCCAGACACTGCTGTAGCAAAACCCGTCTCTGCAGTCCCTGCTGATCCAGACTCACGAACCTGCTCCTCCTGGGCCAAAAACCCTGCGCCCGCGCCGACCTTGCCACTGGGGACTGCACTCTGGACCTTAGCCGCCACGTTGGACATCATCCGTCCCGCCGCCGTCCTGATAGCACTTCCCACACTGGGTTCTCCCAGTGGCATCCCTGCCGCACTGACACTTGGCATTCCCTGGCCCTCTGGAAACCCGCTCTGAGCTGCCGCCTGAACCACTTCGCTGTCCAAGGTCATGGGACCAACTGCCCCATACGTACCATTCAACTGCTGAAGATCAAATCTCACACCAGTACTGGCACTCACGTTGTCAGATTGACCTGGGGGTAGATCTTCTGAATTGGGGTTCTCATCAACCTCGGCCCTCATCGTCCCTTGACCACGACGAAATCTCAGAAGGGACTCCGTAGTCTCAAAGCTCCATGAAGGGACACAGAGGACTCTAAAGGCTCTTTTCACTCTACGCACGACAACAAATGTGCAAAGGTCCACGGCTTGATTTAGCCTTTCCGATGCTTGCTGTCTGTCGTTGTTCACTACAGGTGTGAAGCCCTACGTAGTCCGAGCCACGTGCTTCAGCAGTCTCTAGATGAGTGCTCCGGCTGTACATGGATTATCCGGAATTCCACAATTATGATAAGGAACCTGCCAAAATAGTACAGGCCCCTAGAGTAGCTTCAAGGTTTTGGGGCAAAAAAAAAACCTCACAACAAATAAAGCCCTAGAGGCCCCTGATGAACCCCACGACACCCTGAGCCTAGATTGAGGAGGCTATGCTCTGGCCGAGCAGCATCCGCAGGAAAGCCCATGAAGGTTTTCTGTCCTGGCACCACAGGGTTTTTGTTTTTAAGCACCTTAAGACACCATAGGGGTGTCGGGTTTTAGGGTTGCGAAACCCCAACTCCCTACAGTGTACCCCCCCCCCCACTACCACAAAAAGAAACAAGACGCCTCCTGACCCGGAAAGCGGAGCTTGAATACATGGAAATCACGATCCATCCCTCAGCCCTGCACCCCTAAGCCCTACGCCCTGGAAACCCCTAAACCCCTAACCCAAACCAACAAAGTTCTCCGTGCTCCAGCGTACTCTGTTCAGATAGTCACACCCAGCAACCCCGAAACCACGAACCCGAGGCAGAAAACACATACTACAGGGGCCTTAATGATTAGAATAAGGTTTAGAAGGTTATCCCCACCCTGGGCTGTGGGTGAGAGTGTAGGACTAGGATCGAGGAAGAGTATACATTTTGACGGGAACAAGCTGTCTCGAGAAAAGACAGGATTTGCAACAAGTCGAGTCGGCGATTTGCAGAAACGCATCAAAAAATGCTAGATACAGAGAAAGGCCATACAAAAATTTCCACAACGTGTCCTCCGACTTTGACTGTGGATCCGGAAACACTACAATCCCACTAACCTCATCGATAAAATTCTGGGGCCTCTGCCCTCGGAGAGCTTCCTAAACCCTAAGAAGCCAAAAGGTTGGAGCGGAGTCGTAAACCCTAAACCCTAAACCTAAAACCTAAACCCTAAACCCAAGCCACAAGCCCTAAAGTCTACAGCCCAAACCCTGCACTAGAAAGCCCCAAACCCTTAGCCCTACCTGTAACCGAAAAGACCTACCTTTTAGGGTTCCTTATTATGAGGTAAACCCTAGGCCCTAAACCCTAAGAAGCCCCAAACCCTCAGAAGCCCCAAACCCTAAGAAGCCCCAAACCCTCAGAAGCCCCAAACCCTAAGAAGCCCTAAACCCTCAGAAGCCCTAAACCCTAATAAGCCCTAAACCCCAAGAAGAAGCCCTAAACCCTCAGAAGCCCTAAGCTGGGGCGGAGTCCTGAAGCAAGGAGTTTCCCAGACTTGGAGACCTGCAGCGGCGCGTCTTCTTTTTATCACGGCGTGGCAGTGTAAAAAAGTTAGGGGAGGGGGTGGGGGCTCCTCAAAAGGGATCTTTGCTATAACGGGTAGCTCTCTAAAAAAGTAGAAGGATTCAGGGTTTAGGGTTTAGGGATTGGGATTCACGGTTTAGGGTTTAGGGTTTAGGATTGTTGTTATTAGTAGCTCTCCAAAAAGTGAAGGGGAGGGCTCCTTAAAGGAATCTATAAAGAGTAACTACTTCTCTAAATGAGGGCTCCTGAAAATCACGTTATACGGTTCTCTATAGGGTGCTTATATATAGGGCCTTATCTGGGTAGCAATCTAAATGGGGGTCCCCTTCTTAAGTCACCAAAATCGGTACGCCACCCTCAAACACAAGGACCCTAAAAGATACCCTAATTTAGAGAACTACCCTAAACCCTAAACCGTTAAATAGAAGGACCTCAGAAGGGACCCCAAGGCTTGGTTAATCTGGTCTTACTTTGAGGGGTGCGATTCACAGCTTCTAGCGAGCGTAAATTCCAAGACTCACGTACCTCACCTGACAGAACAAAAACGGCCTTGAGACGGTCAAAGGCGTGCCACGATCACACTCACAACTGCTACTAGTACCAGTCGCCATCGTCGTCGCCATCATGGTGGAGCTGTTGCTGGCACCAGCGGTTCCTGTTGTCTTGCTGGTGTTGCTGTTGCTGCTGCTGCTGATGGTGCCCGCTAGTGGCAGTGGTGTTCGTGATGATCGTGTTGGTAAGGGTATCGGTATAAAGATGCTCAGTCTTCTGATAAATATTCATGACCCCACGCTTCCTCGGGAACAGGGGTGCGAGACTAAGAGGAGCAGAGTAGCAGCACTTTAAGACTGATGATGCTGAACCCGATACCCCAATCCCGGAACCAAAAACCCTACACTTCCTGAGTGAGAACCCGAGGCCCTAAACCCTGAACCCTTGAACCCTAAAAAACAGCACGTTCTACTAGAATTGGTATTAGCAATATTATTAGTGTCAGTAATAATAGTACTATTAACAATACCTTAACCCTACGTAACCTACCTTTTTAAGGACTTATATAAAGAAATCATATTAGGGAACCCTAAAAAGGTAGGTTCCTTAGGGTCCAGGTACTATTAATAATATGAACCCAAAAGCCCTTCACATCCCCCCCCCCGTCCCAACAGGCCCCCGGCTGTGATGCAGTTGACCTGACGGGCTTGAGCTTCAGAGGCTTCGGGCTTAGGGTTTAGGGCTTTGGGGTTTTGGGGTTTAGGGTTTAAGGGTTTAGGGGTTTAGGGGTTTAGGGGTTTAGGGGTTTCGGGGTTTCGGGGTTTAGGGTTTAGGGGTTTAGGGGTTTAGGGGTTTAGGGGTTTCGGGGTTTAGGGTTTAAGGGTTTAGGGGTTTAGGGGTTTAGGGGTTTAGGGGTTTAGGGGTTTAGGGGTTTCGGGGTTTAGGGTTTCGGGGTTTAGGGTTTAGGGTTTAAGGGTTTAGGGGTTTAGGGGTTTCGGGGTTTAGGGTTTCGGGGTTTAGGGTTTAGGGTTTAAGGGTTTAGGGGTTTAGGGGTTTAGGGGTTTCGGGGTTTCGGGGTTTAGGGTTTAGGGCTTAGGGTGAAGATTTCGGCTTCAGGTGTGAGGATTTAGGCTTGGATCTTGAGGATTTGGGCCCTGAGGTTTAAGCTCGCGATCAAAAAGTCCCAGTTTCACGAGGAGCTCCGAATTCACAACTTGCGGCGCAGACATTAGCGTCCTCCCAACCGCACAAAGGCACAACCCTGAACCCTAAACCCCTAGACCCTAAACCCTAAACCCCCAAACCCCTAGACCCTAAACCCCCAAACCCCTAGAACCTAAACCTCTAAACCCTGAATTCAATCTCGAAACCCTAACTCCGTGCTTGGCCCCTAAAGCCGAAGCCTCGAAAGCCGAAGCCCCAGGTACACTGAGAAAACCAAGAGCCACCGAGCCCTGAACCCTAGCTCCTAAAGCCCTAAAGCCCTAAACCCTAAACCCCTAAACCCCTAAACCCCTAAACTCCTAAACCCTAAACCTACACCCCTAAAACCCTAACCCCTAAACCCCTAAAACCCTAAACCCTAAACCCTAAAGCCCTAAAGCCCTAAACCCCTAAACCCCTAAAGCCCTAAAGCCCTAACCCCTAAACCCTAAACCGACAGGCCTGGTTATCATGGCCCTGGAGGAACCTCGGGCGAGACGTTCGGCACAGTCTAGTGATTCCAGATCCGGGGTAGTA